CGTCGGAGAGAGGGAGTCTGGCGTCGGAGAGAGGGAGTCTGGCGTCGGAGAGAGAGAGTCTGGCTTCGGAGAGAGGGAGTCTGGAGTCAGAGGGAGGGAGTCTGGAGTCAGGGAGAGCGAGGCCAGAGTAGGAGAGAGCGAGGCTGGAGTCAGAAAGAGCGTGGTTGGAGTCGGAGAGAGGGAGTCTGGAGTCAAAGAGGGCGAGGCTGGAGTCGGAGAGAGCGAGGCTAGAGTCGGAGAGAGCGAGGCTGGAGTCGGAGAGAGCGAGGTTGGAGTCAGAGAGAGCGAGGTTGGAGTCAGAGAGAGCGAGGTTGGAGTCAGAGAGAGCGAGGTTGGAGTCAGAGAGGGCGAGGTTGGAGTCAGAGAGGGCGAGGCTGGAGTCGTAGAGATAGAGGCTGGAGTCCTAGAGAGCGTGGCTGGAGTCCTAGAGAGCGTGGCTGGAGTCGTAGAGAGCGTGGCTGGAGTCATAGAGAGCGAGGCTGGAGTCAGAGAGAGCAGGGCTGGAGTCAGAGAGAGCAAGGCTGGAGTCAGAGAGAGCAGGGCTGGAGTCAGAGAGAGCGTGGTTGGAGTCGGAGAGAGAGAGGCTGGAGTCGGAGAGAGCAAGGCTGGAGTCAAAGAGGGCGAGGTTGGAGTCAGAGAGGGCGAGGCTGGAGTCGTAGAGATGGAGGCTGGAGTCGTAGAGAAGGAGGCTGGAGTCGTAGAGAAGGAGGCTGGAGTCGTAGAGATGGAGGCTGGAGTCGTAGAGAGTGTGGCTGGAGTCGGAGAGGGCGAGGCTGGAGTCAAAGAGAGCGAGGCTGGAGTCAAAGAGGGCGAGGCTGGAGTCAAAGAGGGCGAGGCTGGAGTCAAAGAGGGCGAGGTTGGAGTCAAAGAGAGCGAGGCTGGAGTCAAAGAGGGCGAGGTTGGAGTCAAAGAGAGTGAGGCTGGAGTCGGAGAGAGCGAGGCGAGCTTTTTACNCAAAGAGAGCGAGGCTGGAGTCAAAGAGGGCGAGGTTGGAGTCAAAGAGAGTGAGGCTGGAGTCGGAGAGAGCGAGGCGAGCTTTTTACGGGCTGCTGAGACACTACGCCCCGGCATTCTCACATATTATGTTCAACCAGTGAGGTAATTCAGTACATGAACGAGATCGGGTCCATTCCTTGCTTCCCTCAGAATTAAGACTGATTTTGAACTTATCGACCTCATGTTGTTCTTCCCTCTATCTGAGGTGTGAGCTGAAGAAGATCCTGGCCTACCGCTTCACTGATGTTGTAGAAGGCCTCACAAAGTGACTATAATGGAATAAAATAAAGCTGTCATTAGCATAGCATTGCTAACGCCATGATCTGAGTATGTAGACATTTGAGAGCCCTGAATCTGACTCTAATAGGTTACATCATCTTTTACTCCTTCTTAACCTAATTGAGATGATAGTCAGTCAAAGACAATGTAAGAGGAAACATCTAAAACTAGAGTTAAACTAAATGTTGTAGCATGAATACCCAATAAGCTGCCATGCAGTGATTCTTAGAGACTCTTCATCTTTGTTAAGTTGAAAACTCTGGAAGCTGTGTCTTTGATGCTTGAAGGTTATAATCGGTGCTCTGGAGAGCAGCGGAGACATCGTGTCTGTATCATCTTGTGACAATGAAATCTTCATCCTGAAAGGAGACAGAGAGATCATCCGCCTCTCCAACAACCCAGAGGGGATCGCTACCAACAGTGAGCGCTGCCGATGCTGCCGCAGATAATAGCACCACAAACGGAAGCCCCAACTAATGACGGCGCTTCTTTATCATCAGTGCTTTCAGCTCATCTGTCTTCACCTCTGACCACGCCCACAATTGTTCAGCCAACCGGGTCAGTGGAAACAGTCCAACCCATCAGAACAATGGCCATCATCGTAGAAGGGGGCGCTAAAGAGGAGGCCGGGCGGAGCGAGAGGCGGCCTGAGGAAGGAACAGATGAGGAAGAGGAGGAGGAGGAGGAGGAGGGAGTGGAAGAAGTTGAAGAGGCTCTGGAGCAGGCGAGCCCACTGAAGGTAAACTTTACCCAACAGAAATACACCTGATCTGCTTCTCAGTGTTGAACCAAAGAAAGAAGCTAATAAGTTAAATAAACAGCCGTTCTATTTAATCACTGATGAGAATATTTGCTCATTAAAACTGGTCTCTGCTCTGAAAGCATGTTCTTTATATTAATCAGTGGTGTCAAAGTTATTAATGTTTACTACTCCAGTAGAAGTATAAATCCTATTGTTTAAAACATGTTGGTAGAAATTAAAGGATCGACTTGAGCTTTTTTCAATTAAAAACATTGAAAACTACTTAAAGTTTAAAAGTAAAAGTAATGCAGTAAAAATTGTTAAGGACAGAAGCTTTACTGCACTACCCTATTAAAGGAAATTTTTTGTACTATTCTGGATGATAACTTCCGGAAACAGCAGAAGCAGCTAGTTTCCATGTGTTCACTTTTATTATCCTGGTACCTGCAGTTTGGATTATGTACGTGAAAAACGCCTTCCAGCCGCTGTAAACAGTGGCGGAAGACCGTGAAAAGGCAACCGGGCCTGAACTGGGTTCCTAGTGACAGAGCTCCGCTGGTGTTCGGGGTCTGAGCGGCTCCGACAACAAAATAATGTTTAAAGGCAGGATGGTAATCATCAGGAACTGACTGCACAGAGGAAGTTTTCAGGTGGACTTTCTCGCTTAAAAACATTAAAACTACTTTTTTAGGATCACAGCAAATATAGCTGCCATTGTTCCAGGCAAAGAAAGCATAGAGTAGCTCCGCCTAACGCAATTAATTGTATGCTTAATTATTTATTTATTGAGCATTTATTTATTTATTTCTGTATTTATTTTTAAATATGTCAGAGTTGGTCCTCCATAATTTCAATGCTGGTGCTAAAAGGTTTCCTTATTTTTCAAACCGATGCCAAAGTATAACTTTACATAATGCTCCACATTCCTCATTTTAGGGAAGAAAGCGCTTCTTTTAAGAGTTGTCATAAAATACAACCTTATTCTTGTATTATTAGAACTTTATCCTCATAATGTTACGACTTTATTCTCATAACATTACAACTATATTCTCGTAATTTTACAACCTTATTCTTGTAATTTTATGGTTATTCTCATTGCAAATTTATACTCGTAATTTTCCGACTTTATTCTCGTAATTTTATGACTATTCTCGTAATATTTTGACTTTACTCTCATAATGTTATGACTGTATTATCGTAATTGTATGACTATTCTCCTAATTTTGATTTTATTCTCATAATGTTACGACTTTATTTTCATAATGTTAAGGCCTTCATTCTCTTGTTTTATGACTATTATTGTAATTTTATGACTTCTCGTTATTTTATGAATTTATTCTCATAATGTGACAACTTTATTCTCACAATTTTATGCCGACATTATTCATGTAATTTTGTGACTTTATTCTCGTAATTTTATGGCCTAATTCCTGTAAATGTATTACTTTATTCTTGTAATTTTATGACTATTCTCGTAATTTTATGACTTTATTTTCATAGTCTTTCAACTTTATTCTCATAATGTTCCAACCTTTATCTCGTATTTTACGACTTTATTCTCATACTGTGACTTTATTCTCGAAATAGAAAAAATAATCTCTAAAATCAGTGCCTCTGCGATTTGTAAATTGCGTTTTGCTAAATTGCGATTATATTGCAAATGCTATTGATTGCCCGGCCCTAATATATTGTGCAGCCAATCTACTGCTAGTTCTGGATCTATGGAAGCAGTTCTAGATACCAGGTTATCCTCTCCTGGTTCCTGAGCAGACTAAGCTGCTGTTTTTGCTATTTTAGAGGGTTAATGGTTTATATATCATATAAAATTAAGAGAGAATATAGACAACAGGTCCAAAATTGTAAGCTCTGTTTATGTTTTGACAAACGTGAAAAAGATGAGGGGGTGTGAATACTTCTGCAGGGTATCTTTATTTTATTTTCTCTATCTGCCCAGGTGATGAAGTCCAGCCCTTTGTTCAGTAGCTCCCGTTTCCGCAGCAGCTCGGTGACGGCCTGGGACGCCCCCAGTTCAGCCGCTCCAGCAACAACTCCCCTCAGCACATCCTACGAGCTGGGATGCAGGCGCTACAGCGCCCCCATAGACCAGGAGAGGATGCGCCAGGAACTGGTGGTGAAACCCATCAGAGTGAAGAAGAAGAAAAAAAGACACCAAGGCAAGTGAACTCAGACCAACATGGAAGCTGTTCTCATCCAGAGTGGCAGAGGTTAGAAATGAACCAGTGAGGTGAAAAAGGTCACTGGGGGTTTCAGCTCGTCTGCATATTAATTAACTTTAACAAAAGTAATACAATCTGAATTGGAAATGGAAGCTGAAAAATATATTTTTAAATCTACTAAATGTGGTAAATAATGATTTTTCTGCTGAGGAATAAATTCGGATTTCTTACAAAAAGATAAAATCCCAGACAGGAGGAATGATATTAACTCGGCATGTCGAAGGAGATTATTCTCTCAAACCTCGACATTTAGACTGCTGCCTCTGACTGTAGAACTGATTGAACACCGTGTGAGACCCAGATCTGTTCTCAGGCCAAAAAGAGGAGCTGACGAGTGTGTGAAGGGATTTAAAAAGGACTTAAAATAAATTAAAATCCAAATTTTTTTTATCAAATTTGTTTAGAAGTGGAGGAGATTCGGAACGCCTGCTAACTCGCTCAGGTCCTGCTTTTCAAAACAAATGTTACCTGTAATCAGACCGCAACATGCTACAAGAGGTGTCCAAATACCCTGATACGTTATCACAGAAAATTCCAAAAAAAGTAAAAAAACAATCCACTGGACTTCATTTCTAAGTTTTAAGATGTTTCGCTTCCCATCTAGTAAGCTTTTTAAATTCAGAATCTCAGAAATAGCGTCAAAAATAGCGTCAGAAATAGTTCAAAGTTATGTACAGTAGCCCAACAGTAGTGAATAGTTTTTTAACATTTTTGGAATGACTGTGACCTGGATGACTGAGAATCTTCACCAGCAGATCCTCACAGAAATGAAACCAGGTTCTTCCAACTGCTGATGTAGAAGTTCACGCCCGTATGACCTGACAGATGCACATTATCTGCTGCTTTTCTTTGCTCATTAACTTTGATTAGTTTAAAGCCACCTATTTAGCAGCCTTTTCCGGCTCATGTTATCTGCCTCCGTCTGTTTGCAGACCTCTCCTTAGACCGCAGCACTGGAAGCCATGTTGATCAGGGCAGCTGCTCAGATTCAGTGTTTGGAGTCCAGGACAGTGATGGAGAAAGTGGAACGCCTTCAAGTGACCATGCTTTCCTCATTGGTGCTGATGCTGAGAGCCAAGACCAACATATCAATGACCAGAAGTCTCAGGAGATGGAAGACACCAGATCAGGAAAGGGTCTGAAAGACGGCGAGGAGGCGGAACCTTGGTGTGTATCTGATGATCCACAGCCTCACTCCTATCCTACTGCTGCTCTTCTTACAGGCTTTTCTTCTCCTCAGCTCCACTCCGAATCCAGGGTCTCTGCTCCTGTCGGCTCCCAAGGACGAGCAGAACCCAGAGCGTGCTCAGAGAGGTGTTTCTGAGGAAGACGATCTTCCACCAACCCCAGATGTTGATGAACTGCTGGAATGCACCTTCTCCTACATGAAGGCTGAAGATGACGGAGCGGAGCAGAGGCCAGATGAAGATAGAAAGTTTCCCTGCAGCCCTCCAGCATCCAGAGCCCAGACGGTACGTCATCCCTGCTTCGACCCATATGTAAAGACATGGAGAGGGCAGGTCAGAAGTTTCCATAAACTTATCTACATAAATAAACCTCTAAGGCAGGATTTTCAGTCGGATCGGACACAAAATGTGTTTAGTCCCACAGAGCTGAATGCAGACTGATCTTAAAGAGTTGGATTTTCTCCCTCTGGGTTGTTTATGTCACCAGTGAGTCGTGGTGGAAACCAGTTTAGGCTTTTAATGGTTGGTTGAATCAGTGTTTTTAATTGTCACACATGACCATAACACTTTGAACATGGCTGTGAATAAACGGCTTCAAACTGATGAGCTTGTTCCTGAGGAGCAGGCGCCTCATATCACCTCCTCTGCTTGTGTGAGCAGGAGGAGCACCCTCTTCTTCCACCTGAGATGCCGGAGCAGATGATTTCCTTCGATGACGCCAATCCGCACAGGAAGCCCAGCATGTCCAGCGACGAAGAGGGAGACATCTACCGTCACTCTGCTCCTGCTGTGAGTGGAGGAAACAGCCTCAGCGATCCCTCAAAGGAGGCAGAGAGGACCGCAGACAGGGAGCAGGGGAGCCAGGAGAGGAGCAGGCCTTACGCGGTGAGAAACACTGGAAGCAGAATATTTATATCATTTTGTTTTTTCCAGATTTTCTCCGGTAGACAGATCAATATGCCGCCAACAGCAGGAAGTCACATTGTTAAAATACTTTCAGTTTTGGGTCTAAGTTTGATGAAGCTGGTTTTTAGATGTTTAATCTTAAATCTGAACTAGTAATATAATCTGGAGGAAGTATTTCTAAAGGTTTGGATCTTCCAGTTCTCCTCAATGTTTAGGATTTTGCCAAGTTAATGAACTGATGTGTGGAGAACATCGACCTGTTACAGTTTAAACCAAGTCAGGGGCTGATTATCTGATTATCTAAAACTATAAACATAAAGATGTTTTACAGGTTTTTTTTTTTATCAAGCCTTTAAATGTTGATTACATTTAATCCTCTCCTCTCCTCTCCTCTCCTCTCCTCTC